AAAACAATATAAAAAATAAATTTATTACTTTTTCGAAATCGATAGGTATAGGTATGTGACTAAACACAAGCTGTATTTGAATATTAATGTTAACTAAGCAACAGAGAGGTGTAGCCAGTAAACTTTAGGCACAATTATATGGGCACCATCCTTCTTCCTTCTCCTGAAAGATTTCACTCCTTGTAGTGTTATAGGAGGATGATCAGGACACCAAGGATTAGAAATGAGGAGGTATTAGAAAGAATAGGAGATCGGAAGTCACTATGGAAATTAATAAGAAATAAGCGAGATAGGTTGGTAGGATACCTTTTCAAGCATGAAGGGCATGAAGAGACATATTAGAAGCAGAAACAGGAGTTGAGAGCAGAAATAGTTAAGGATGTGGGATGTTCTGGTTTTAGGGAAATGCGAAGATTAGCTCAGGATTGGAAAAAGGGGTGCGTGTCCAACCAGTCTTAGGACTGATAACCTTATGATCATGACTTCGTCCTTATTCTTACATCCATGGTCAATGGTGGAAACATGAATTTCGGATGGTAGATTACTTTTTCGAAGTATGATCAATTAAAATTAAAGAGGAAAAAAGGATAAAATACAGTACAGTAGAACCTCGATAAGTCGAAAACTCGAAAAAATGTTTTATTCCTTTCCCTTCAAGCTCCAAAACTTCCATTAGTCGAAATCTCAACTCTCTATTATTCAAAGTAATCAGTGAGTACCGGCAAGCCATTTTGATACATATTTTCCTTCTATAGATGGAAAAATTAAATTAGACCTCTGTATCTCGAATATAGCAATGTTTTATTTTACAACTTTTGTAACTCGATAATTTGAAACTTATTACCTCTATAGTTCGAAGAAAACTAAGTTATCGACTTTAAGGATTTGCCGACAATGTAAGTACACCAAATCTTAACCTCTACAAGTCGAATCAAGTCAAAATCCTACATAAGGAAAACTCTATAACTCGAATTGTTTGGAGTCTCCCTTAATGTTCGATGTATTATAGGTTCTACTGTATTACAAATGTTTTGATATCAGTTTTAACAAGCTTAAATCTTAAGAACCTGTAATTTGTAATCTAAACCTTTTACAAAAAATAGACATATGTTCGAGAATTTTTGAAAATTAAGAGTTCCCATGTAGGTAAAATTAATGGTTCAACGTTTGTTTGACAAAGAAAATGGTGAAAATCTTTAACAGATGTACGAATTATGACTAATAACTCATCGTTTGTTTTACAAGTAGTTTAATAAAAGAAAAGCGACAATGGCGGATTTTACATGAAACTGAACGATTAAAAAAGTAGAAAAAGAAAAATCCCACAGAGATGGATATCAAAATAAAAATGTTTAAATTAACAACTTTGAAAATATTTACTTGCATGTGCAAATATTTGATATGTAGAGAAATTTTATGGAAGATCCGAATTTTTCGCAGGCATTAACAAAGGATAATTTTATCTCTATATATAACAGGTCAATTGAAAAGTCCCCGGCCTAAAATAGTAAAACACATTTTTTTTGCAAAATTCGTTTTTTTTTATTCAACATAATTCCCTTCAAGGGTGATACACTGATTATAGCGATCCTCCAACTTTTCGATACCATTTTTGTAGTACGATTTGTCCTTTGCTTCAAAATAGGCCTCAGTTTCGGCGATCACCTCTTCATTCGACGAAAATTTTTTCCCAACGAGCATTCTTTTGAGATCTGAGAACAGGAAGTAGTCGCTGGGGGCCAGATCTGGAGAATACGGTGGATGCGGAAGCAATTCGAAGCCCAATTCATGAATTTTTGCCATCGTTTTCACTGACTTGTGAGACGGTGCATTGTCTTGGTGAAGCAGGACTTTCTTTTTCTGCAAATGCGGTCGTTTCTCGGCGATTTCGTCCTTCAAACGGTCCAATAACGCTATGTAATAGTCGCTGTTGATGGTCCTTCCTTTTTCAAGGTAGTCAATGAAAATTATTCCACGCGCATCCCAAAATACAGACGCCATAACCTTGCCAGCCGACTGTTGCGTTTTTGCACGCTTTGGAGCGGGTTCATCGTGTGCAGTCCACTCCGATGACTGTCGATTGGACTTCGGAGTGAAATGATGGAGCCATGTTTCATCCATTGTCACATATCGACGCAAAAACTCGGGTTTATTACGCGTGATCATCTTCAAACACTGCTCTGAATCATCAACTCGTCGTTGTTTTTGGTCAAAAGTGAGCTCGCGCGGCACCCACTTTGCACAGAGCTTTCTCATACCCAAATATTCGTGAATGATGTGATGTATACGTTCCGTTGATATCTGTAGAGTGTCTGCTATTTCATTCAATTTCAATTTACGGTCATTCAAAATCATTTTGTGGATTTTTTTAATGTTTTCGTCCGTAACAGCCTCTTTTGGGCGTCCACTGCGTTCACCGTCTTCGGTGCTCATTTCACCACGTCTAAACTTAGCATACCAATCCTTGATGGTTGATTTTCCTGGGGCAGTGTCCGGAAATTCGTTATCAAGCCAAGTTTTTGCTTCAACTGTATTTTTTCCCTTCAAAAAGCAATATTTTATCAACACGCGAAATTCCTTTTTATCCATTTTTTTCACAATAACAAAAGTTGCTTCACTAAAAATGCTATAATTCACAAACTAATGATCCGACAGCCGTCAAATTTATAGACGCGTCTTTTGAAGGTTAGGACTAACTGAAAATCATATGGATTTAGTTCTGGTGCCGTCATCTATGTGTCAGGCCGGGGACTTTTCAATTGACCCTAGTATATAGAATGTTTATGATTCCCTACCGGCTTGTACGATGCACATCTTAAACGGCAAATCTTCTCTTTCAGCGTCTTATCGTTAGTAGGTGAGTTATATGTACAGGTAGGCATGTAAGTATAGGTTGACTTACTTATTAAGTCATCCGGAAGTGTCGTGCAACGGTACACATTTGCATTTGATACTCTGTAATAGGATCGATGCTTTTATTTCATTCATATGTACGTTTTCCACTCGAGGCAAATAATTCCAACTGGTTCTTATTACTAACAGAATTATCGCTATTAAGCCTAAACCGTTAGAGGACACCGTTGGGTGGTGTAATGTCAACCACATACTAGATTACATCTTCTAAGAACTAATTTGCCTACTTTTTTTATACACGTGTTTACCTAATCTACAAAGCTACCTACTTAATTAGATAGTCTAATTGATGCAACTGACAAATTCACAGTTTAGTTCGTTTTAATAACGTTTCAAACGGGATGAGGTGATTAATATTTAATTGGACATTTATCGAGACGTAATAAATTTAAAACTGATTATCTGTAATCTCACCTACATTGCAAAATTGTGTATTTGTGTAGATAATTTATTAAATAAATAAAATATTAATGGATTATCTGATTTAACAGGAAATACGTCGATAATTCAAATTAAAACAATATTTAATGATTTATAAAATTCATTGCAGCAATAAAATTATAATTTCGCTAATGGTAAATAAACATTTTTCGTCATCTACGTAATCCTGAATAGTAATGTCTGACTGCGTTGGAAACACAACTGGCAATCCTCGTCATGTCATAGAAAGCAATATCAAACATACTGTTCAAAAATTATCGTAAATTTTGTGTTTTTTCAAAAATTATTTATTCATGAATATCTATTTTGTCACCTTCAAAGAAATACCCACCAGATATTACACACTTGTGCCAACGTTTTTTCCAATCCTCGAAGCACTTCAAGAAATCATTTTTTGTGATCTTCTTCAACTCCTTCTTCGATGCCATCTTTATCTCCTCAATCGTAGCATAGCGTCGTCCTTTCCTGGGCCTCTTCAGTTTCGGGAACAAGAAAAAGTCACAGGGGGTCAGATCTGGGGAATACGGTGGCTGCCGCATAATTAGTGTGTTGTTTTTGGGTAAAAATTCGCGAATAAGCAACAATGTGTGAGCAGGGTGCAAAAGCCAATTTCTGTTCCTCCCCAAATCCGGATGTTTCTGGCGGATTGCTTCGCGCAAATTGCGCATAACTTCCAGGTAATATTCCTTATTGACCGTTCTATACTGTGGCAAGAACTCATGATGCACCACGCCCCTCCGATCGAAGAAAACTGTAAGCTAAACCTTTACATACATGATTAGTCACCAGTTATAACCCTTTGGAGCAAACAGCTCCTTAGCAATGTTAATGCGATGCTGTTTTTTGGTAGAAATTAGACAATTTTCAAATGGCAGGAGCTTTAGGTCTTCGGCAACTTCTCTAACTGTGATTGGCCAATACTATTTTCTTCACTCCATCAATGTTTTCGTCTGTTTGATGTGCTCGGGCATACGGCACGCTTCTCGTCGTTCAAATCTTCTTGGCCCTCTGAGAACATTTTGTACCACCGATAAACATTGCTTCAGTCCAAGGTAGTTTCACCATAATCCTTTGATGCATTTTTTGGAATAGACAAAAATCGAAGACGAGCCAAAACACGTGCAAGCAAAGCAGTAGTTAAAAATTAACAGGACTTTCAACAGGGCCGAACTTGTCGGTATAAGCAAGAGACATGACTACCAACATAACACCACAATAAAAATCGAAAATCGAATATACATAACCCGCGGAAATTCTTGTATATTTGGTCTTGCACTTGCATATTTGGTCTTGGTTGCAGTCTTTGTCTTGTTCGTTCGGTCTTGGTCTTGATCTTACTTGTATAAAGACAGTCATGGTCACTAAACCATGATTAAGACTGCATGACTAACACCAATTTTGCTCTTAAGTAGTGACCGTTCTTATATAAATTAATGTTGTACTGCGATTTGCGGCAGCCCTAGTCGATCAATTTTTTTCGGAAATAATTCACCAAGTGTTGTCTCCAAATATTATGTTACATATTCATATTTATATTATATTTATGTAATAAATTAACTGCTTTTTTTTTTTTTTGCTTTACAATGCTTTTTATACTGCAAAGTATCATTAGTTTGCATATTGTATAAATTAAAAACGTTTTTCAGATATTGTTGAGTGCAACAATTCTGAGCACTGTAGCAGAACAAGCATCCAACATAGAATTCAACAACGAGGTATGCGTTTCTTCTTTGTTCTCTTCAAACCCATGCTTAATTGTTCTCATTCATGAATATGTTATTTATATGGTACATGGTTTTAAAAATTATTTGCTAAAAATTATAATTTTTAAGGATTAGTGTCATGATCTAAAATGAGATAATTATTATTTATTTTCGTATAAAATATTGTAAATAATATTTTCTTAAGAAGGATAATCATTCAAAATTGTCCTTAATAGCGTTATATTTCAGTAGCTTGTAAAAAGTTATTGTCAAGTACCAATACTTCCTTCGTCTTTTGGCAGACGTCTTTAGAATGACACAATCACGAACTACGAAACAATACAGGGACGGAGTATAAATTGTGATTGTAGACAGGGAGAGTGAAGTCACTCAGAAGAGGGAGAATGGCTGGTGCTCACATACTTGTGCCTAGTGTTTATTGGGTGGGCCGCTGCTTAATGGTGAATTCAAATGCAGTTTGAGATCTTGACATATATTAACTTCAAAAAAGTTGTAAATTTGTTGATTTACTGTCATATTTCGTTAATTATTGATATTTTCAAGTTCCCAAATTTTTCACTCTGAGATTCTTCTCAATTTTCTTCTGTTGCATGACAGAACTGCACATAAATCAAAATAGTCATGATTGCACCGTAAATGGCTTATCTGTACGAGTAACCAATAGAATCTAGGCACAAGATTCCCTATTCCCCATGTGGCCCCCTCCTTTCGTTTATACTTCGTCCCTATATTAGTCCGTGGTTCATAAACACAATTTAACCTAACCTAATAGGAAATTGTTGTTATGTTAGGTTACATATTATTCAGCATTCTAAGTTTAATAATATGGTTCCATGATATTTAATCCCCCGATAAAAAGTCCCCTACAAAATATCCCCGAGACAAAAAATCTCGAGAACGAAATATTTATATATTTCACTAATAAAATAAAAAAATACAACGTGTAATTATACAATACGCTACTGAAGTGAAACTTCTTCAAACACACAAACATACCGGGATAGGGGTTAATAAATTGGTTTAATGGTATTATTTGTACACTATGAACTTAAATTTTACACTATACGTGCTGGAGTTACCTGTAACGAACGTTGCATTGAAGCGCGCTCACGGCTCAAGCGAACCCCACAACGAACTCGACTACGTGGCCGAGTAGACGGGGGACATCCGTTGCATGATTTCGTTACATAGCAACTGGCATGAAACGAACACCCTACCGTGCGTAAAGAAGTTTCACCTCAAAAACTGTAACAAATTAAGAGAAAATACGTAAATTTATTGAATAAAATTTAACATATTATGAATATAATTCATATTTTGTCTTAGGGATATTTTTTTTTATTTTTTAACAATTTACCGAATAGAACAAAGTTGATGTAATAACGATTTATTTTTTAATTAACATTTGGACACATATAATGTTGATAAATTTCAGAGGAAAAGTGGAATTAACAACTTGAATGCAAATGATTCTCCAGATGAAGACAACAATCAGATAGTTCGTAGGTAATACTTATTTAATAATAAGCATGTCTTAATTCATTTCTTATCACTAAAACAACCCTATCATAGGTGCTTGTAAAAAATACCTTCTAAAGTATTCAAATACAAACACAAATACTTTTGAGTTATATGTAAGTATAAAACGTAAATGTATTAATTTGCTCATAAATANCGATTTCGATCTTTTTGGATCTCATCAGCGCGTCGCAGACAAAATGTTAAGAATTATCTCATTCACAAGCAAAAGAAAAGTACTGCATATGTAGAGATGTGCAAAATACTTTCTTAAAAGTATTTAAATACAAATACAAATACTTAGCATGTGCTATTCTATCTGAAAATATATTTGCATTATTATAACAACTTTCTGAACAAATAAAATAATTCGAAGTGGTCTGTATTCTGTCGAAACTGCCAGACGCGGATCGCGATTTCGATCTTTTTGGATCTCATCAGCGCGTCGCAGGCAGC